GGGCCCGCCGGCCCCCGGACCCCCCCAGCGGGTGCAACCCAAACAACCTACAGGAGCCGGGCGGCGCAGTGGGAAGCTCGGGTTGGGTTCGGACGTCCTCGGACGGGGGCGACGGGCCGCGGCGGGCTGGAGGCGCTCGCCGTCGCGGCAGACGGGCCTACGCGGAGCCTTGGCAGCCGGTGGCGTGCGTTGCGCCCCTCTTTACCCCTGGAGGAGGGGTTTCGTGCGAGGGAATCAGTACACGTACTGAAATTCCTACGCGGGATTTCCCAAATTCAACATGTATCGGCGACGTCAACGATGATGACGAATCGCCTGATTCCTCGATTAACTCACCGAGCTCCTCTTCCTCGTTTTCCCCACTAAACGACCACTCCGATCGGAATAACAATAACCATAACAACGATAGTTCTCCTGATAATGACTTTATTGAAGAAGAAAATTATTTGGCTGATGAAATAGTACTTCCCGACAATGCATTACCAAGCTATTATCCTTAAGGCTGTGGAAAATGATCAGAATCCAGACCCCTATTATATTATTTTGCAGCTATAAATTACAGAAAATGAAGGTTTTTAGCAAATAACAGCCGATAATACTCTTTTTATATCATTCTATCTAATTATCTTTATATATATATTTATAGAGATAGATATTTATGTATGCATTAGTGTTGTTGAGCAAACTTATTTCAGGAAAACGATCTATTCTTCCATTAACAGGTATCTTTAGTCTTTGATCCATAATTTTTTTTCCCATGTATTATTCTGAGTTTATTATGGTGTGTGAAGATAAGCTTTATGCATAAAGCTAATTTTTTCATCCTATCATTTTTTTACCCACTTGAAGAATGGAGTCAATTTTCCTTTGATAAGAGTTTTCTGTTGAACCTTTGAAGCACTAAAAGAGAATGTTTTTTCGTGTTTTTTTTCACCCTAAATTATGCTTTTCCTCTAAGCCGACAAAATAGCACTTGCGTATATATATTTATTATGCATTTACGTTTATTATGCAGAAGTATAAATACAAGAAAAAACAGGAAATGTATCTCTTGAACGTTCCATGTATCAGTTATTGGATGTGAACTTGGAGGAAACTTTTACTTTCCAAAAGGGTTTTCACCTCTTTTCCTTGATTCTTTACAAATAAGTTTCATAAAGCCCATTAGTTGATATAAAAACTCAAGTATTACACAAGCTTCTCGTGGGTTATCATATCATCTTAAGCAAAATTTTTATATAAAATAGTATTCGAGCGTCTGTATCATATATATATATATATATATATATATATATATAA